GTGCACCCGCGTGCGCCGTTCGTCTACCGTGAGCCGCGAAACAGCGATACATGTCAAAATTAAAATGACAAACAGTAACACAATTTTATTTCTTCATTAGGCCTTGTTTAGGAACAGGTAGGAGTGAGCAGCGGATATACCGATCTGTCAAAATCGACCGAACCGAACCGATCCGCCGCATTTTGGACGAATGCGTGATGACGAGCGGACGGTTGCGGATTAATTTTCTCCAATCTGCCAATTTGGCGGACGGATGGCAGATTTGAGATTCTTTTGGCCGCAACCGAACCGCCAAACCGCGAGCACCCCTAATAATTTATAAGACTTTATGTTTTTAATTTGTTTAAATATTTTGTTTGTGTTTTCAATTGAAAAAGAGTTTAAATATTCTGTTGAAAAAAAGTTTTCAACTTGAATATATTTTTTGAATTGAAAAAAATAAACGTATTATTTATCTATATTTTTTGGTTTTTAAATTTAATTCTAAAAATAATAAATAAAAAATATGATATATGTTGATTAGTTTTTGTTTTCAAAAACATATATAGATATAACAATACAGAGATATACAATCTCTACTACTGCCCTGTTCATGGTTTTAGTAGTTTGAATTGTTATTATATTTTAAGAACCACAGATTATAATATTTTATGTAGATGAATCATACTGTGATTGTAATATGTGGATGAATCATGCTGTGATCGTAATATGTGGATAAGTCATGCAGTGATTGTGATACTTTAAAGTTTTAAACTTTCTTTTTTTCGATGAGACATACAGTGATTGTAATAGTTTTTTAAGTCATTGATTGTAATACTTTTTTTTTTTTTTGAGGAAGTACACAAGTTGAATTATGTTGAAAATTTATAAAATCTTAAACCGCCAAACCGATTCCCATCCATCTGCCAAACCGTCAATCCGCTCAATCCACATCCGCCGAATTGGCGGACGAATGCGGATTGATTTTCTCCAATTCGCCAATCTGGCAGACGGATGGTGGATTGGAGGTTCCGTGGCCGCAACCGACCTGCGCCCACCCCTAGGAACAGGCTAATTTAATAATTTTTTGACTTTTTACGAAAAGATATATAAAAAAATAAAGAGTGATATAATAACTTATAGTAACTTTTTAAACTAAAATAACTACTATCCAAACAAGACATAATTTGAGCAATCCCGCTAGGTAACTCGATTATTTCGAGGCTCGAGTGGCTCGACTTTCCTCTCTCCTTCTCCTCTTTCTCTCTTCTTCTTCTTCTTCTTCTTCTTTTTCTTTTGTATTGCTCTACCACCACAATATCAACTCCCATCTCAAATCCCATCTTCTGCAAATACCTCAAATCACTCTCATTTTATTCCACAACAATGTTCCCTCTTGAACAAATTTGATGAATAAAATGCTGAAGGGTCAGTGATGCTCCCAAAACCCACATCTTCTTTCATATATATAAACAAACATTCAACAAATGGGTCTCATGAATCACAGAAATGAGATGAGTAGCATAAAAACCCATGTTTAAATCAGGCATATGAACAAACCTCTTAATCACAACAACATACCTCAAATCAAAACAAAATCAAAATCAAAACCAAGCTCTTCCCTCTCATGGCATAACTCTCTCTCTCTCTCTCTCTCTCTCTCTCATGAACTCTTGCTTTGTAAATCTCTGCAGATTGGTGGAAGTTACATGATGGATTTTGGGGCTGTGGGTTTGGAGACCTTGGTGGTCTAGACAATGGAGTCTCTTCTTTCTCAGGTTGTTCCAAACTCTGATACCACAAAGCACCATAGCAATGGATTTGGGTTTCTCCAAAAACTGAGATCTGGGTCTGAAGAAGACGACTGAGAGAGAAACGGGAGGCAGAAAGAAGAAAGAAAAAAAAAATACCTAAAACGACGTCGTTTTGGGTATTTGAGCCATTCGAGCCAATGTATTTCGAGCTAGGAAACATTTCTCTAATTTGAGTTGTCTCTCAACTCAAGCCCTCTTTTTTCTAGCCAAATTAGATGTTCCATTGACAGCCCTAGTCTGGCTAAAGTATGGTAGCAAGCTGCGCAAAATGGCTAAAACATCGAAACCCGCAAAAGGGAAGTACACTATCATCAACTTATCTGTTAATTTGGAGGAAATAATCATGTCTGCTAAAATAGCAACCTGCAACACACACACACACACACACACAAAGAAATAGTAAGCAAAAAAAAAACTTAAGAGAGACTAGCGTGTCATCGAATCCAAATAGATCATCAGAGCTACAAATGGTTATAATCCAATTCTCAGATTATAATCTACTTTCTCTCTTACAAAAAAAGAGCTTATAAGCAGTTTCTAATCCACTTCCCAAATTATAACACAGCTTATAAGCTCCTTTTGGAAGTGAGTTATAATCCACTTCCCAGATTATAACCATCTTCTCAAAATTACCCAAAATATGACAAGGATAGAAGTGAAGAAAAGGGAAAGAAAATACCGTTGTAGTGAAAGCAGATAAGCCATAGACTAAGCATGTGGTATTGAACCACGACTTCCTTCGACAAATGCTATAGAGATTCAGAATTGATAGTGGCCACTGGATTAGAAGCTCAAGCCACATCAGACCAATGAAGAAAGGAGACTTCTCGACAAACAAGTAATCGCCAAACTCATGGCTGTACCAGAGAAGAGATCGACAAGGAAGCCTGGGAAGAATTTGGAAGGTAGGCATACTTGTGCATTCAAAACCGGAACTTCTATTGCAATCACTAAGAAGAAGAAAAACATAATTGCTTCTACCAGCTTGATCAGGACTCCATCTCTCCCTCTCTCTGAGTTTTGTCTTTCAGTTTTGTGATCCAACGATGGATCTCTGTGACATACATGTATGTGCATATACATTTAAATAATGGAAAGGGGATCTTGGTATTGAAAGTCCCACAAAGTTTTTTTTTTATTGAAGAACTAAGTTCGGACCGTCTCCCGTCCAGATCTGAGAAAGTCCGGTCCAATTCGGCCTATTGGGCTTACTTTTGGACCCCTTTTCAATAATCAGAACCATTAACATTTTAGAATTTGTTGAGTACATTATTCCTGTAAAAAATCACGTCAATCGAATAACAGATACTATATATTTGGATCACTTTTGTCTGAAGAAAATAGACGATTAGAAAATTAATGATTCATAAAAAAGCAATTTGAATACATAGTATCCGCTATCCGATCGACGTGATTTTTTACAGAAATAATGTACTCAACAAATCTTAAAATATACACAGTTTGAATTATCAAAAAAATATTCAAAAATGAGGCCAATGGACTGGACCGGACCCTCCAGTCTAGATGGTGGACTGGAGGCAAGCCCCAACCTATTTGGGTTCATGTTTAGAAGTGGTTTTGTTGCGGTAAAATTTTTGTTGTGCAATCTGAATGGTACAGGTACTTTGACACAGTAATCTAGTCATTAGTACTACTGCAGCAACATTAAAAATAAAAAATTAAAACAAAAATGATTGTAGATCTCAACTATAACATAACTCATATTGCAGCTCTCATTTGATTAGTTTCACAAAATCATGAACTCCATAAATTTAGCACTTCAAAGATATCTCAACAATTTCACCTCACCAGAAATAGCATCATCAGAGCAGTTCACAGTAATCACACAATTCAAAAAAATAAAAATAAAAATAATCACACAACCATGATCTACCCCCTTATAAGCTTATACGCTTCCAAAACAAACTCGTTTAAGCAAGCACAAAAAGCTTAAAGTTTGAACCTACTTGATAATTATTCCATACAAACTATGCCCTAAAAAATACTTGTCAATTTAATAACAGCTCATCACAGACTGAAACAAAAACCAGCATTTTCTGATTTTTGTCTCATTGATTTCATAATGGCCAAAAAAAAATCTCATTTATAAACCATAAACTTGAGTATAGCGAATACAGGAAGAATATCAGCCAACTGCAAAAAGCCAATGAAGAAGCCTCTGAAAATAAGAGAATAAAATACAAAATCTTAGACCCACAGTTAGAAGAATTCAAGCCCTTTTCTTCCTATTCAGTACAGGTCTTTTGCCAGCTGCTGTAGTCTTGCCAGAGTGTGTTAGGAGGCCTCGCAAAATTGCTAAAACAGCAAAACCCATGAAAGGGGAGTACATCATCAGCAGCTTATCTGATGCCTTGTTGGACCTCATCAATTCTGATAATATCGCAGCCTGAAATTACATAGAAAGTTAACACGATACTGGAGAGAGAGAGAGAGAGAGAAACACTGATTTCATCTACAATTTTTTTTACCCTAATCATTCTGTTCATGTAAGCTTGTTTACCTCATAATATGAGTTAAATACATTAAAATGTGGAGTGGAATTATGAGTATCGAAAGATATCAAAGTAATGCAGGGTTGGCTATCCCCTCTATCTCCACTTCTCAATTTTATGCATTTGCTTAAAAGGGAAATGATATGAGTAATTGGCATTACTCAAACTTCGCTTCAAATTTTAAGGCCATCCCTAAACTTCTAATTTTTCTATTTAATCTCACAAACTTTCATAAGTAAATCAATGCAGTTCTGGTTCAACTCATTAACACAAGCGAAAAAAATCTAAATGAAAGTAAGAAAATGTAAATTGGTTAAAATTATCTGCAATCACAAGAGAGTTATTTAGCTAATGTCTAATGAATGAATAAGAAATCATTTGAGAGAAATGAATTAATCAAGCAGCTGTCAACTTACATTTGTTACATCTTCAAATCTCAGTTATCAGAATCTTACGATTCGCGATTCAATTCACAATTTTTGTAAAATCGATACGAATCTATGGGTGAATCTCTCTGTTACTAGAATCTTACGATTCGCGATTCGATTCAAATTTTTTACAAAATCGATACGAATCTATGAGTGAATTTATTTTGGAAGTAAATTTCTAGTGAATCGCACAATTCACAATCGATTCACAATTCAATTCACTTTTTACGATTTATGCAATTTTTTAAATTATTGTGTCATACGTATTTTCGACTATTTTTTTCTCCATGTTTTTAGTGAAAATGACATAATACAACTTCTAATAGCGTTTAATACCAAAATAACCAACATAGATACATAATTTGTTGTTATTTTAGTGATCATGAAGTTTTTAATAGAATCCAATCAGATCCAATCAGACCTAACATATTTTTAACCTTTTTTCTCATTTTTTCCCCCTTAAAAAAATCATAATACATCTTCTAAAAATGTTTAAGATTAAAGTTACACTATAAATTATCTATTACTATTTTATTAAATTGAATATAATTGAATATTACATATCTGATGTCAGTTATACATTTAAAAATGTTTTAGGCTTTAAAATGAAACATTCTAAATAATTCTTTCTTATTATTTGCTCACTGCTACTTAAAAAGTATGTATGCTTATTGTCCAAACATCAATATCGTTGTAAATTATTGTTATTTGGAAATTGATAATTTGTCTATTTAGTTATTATCTTTATTAAGAATGATTGATAAGAAATATCTAAAAAGAAAAAAAGTAAAATAGTGATCTTACATAAGAATCATTGTTAGCTTCTTACATATTAAACTACGTGATTATCTCTCAAAATAACATTTTCATTGATTTAAGTCTAAATATTTAATATTCATAAGATATATTTCATATCTAAATGTGTAAATATATATTTTTAAGTAATTTTTAAAAAGTGATCGAATCTTTACGATTAACGATTCGATTCGATTCGTGATTCGGTACAAGGTCATTTCGATTCACGATACGAATTTCGATTTGACAACTGTGCTTCAAACGAAGCCAAATTTCACCTGAACTGCTATTGGTTTCATCTCTTCATACCTATTTCTTTTATAGAACCTATAAAAGTTTCTCAACTTAAACCTTAAAATTAGTTCAACTAAGAGCACATGACGTAATAGGGACAATTTTTTCCATATTCATTACCAGTTCGACAAACATTGACCAAGTTTGGAAGTTAAATAGAAGAATGGAAAGTTTAAGAGATGACTCAAGTTTGAGGAACAAAATAATAATCTACCCACAGTAGCCAATAGTTTAACCACGCTGAACTTTGCCTTTGTTTGGGAATGCAAGATTGAGGCTTTTTTGGCTATTTTAGTCACAAAAAATAAAATAAACTTTTTAGCCCAATAAGACAAAACATCACATCCAACCTATAATCATTATGTTCTTTCCCACACAAAAAAGTCAAAAAAATCAAAAGCGCTTCCCAAACCAAACTTTTTAGCCCCAGGCTAAAATAATCAAAAAGATTAAAAAGTCAAAAAGTCAACCCACTTCTTTGAAAGGTGAACTCATCTGCCTTGCAATCATTAGTAGTATCCAATGAAATACCCTTATCTATGAAGCATGGACACTCCAAAATCGGAGCTGTAGCGGAGTCCGACACGCGGACACGTCGGGGACACGTACGGGACGCGCCAGATGACGTGTCCCTTTAATTTAATGATTTTTTTGTAGGGGACACAGCGGGACACGCGTGTCTATATCGGGACACAGCATGGAATAAAGCGGGGCTCACTTTCTTCTTTTTTTTTTCTTCTTTTGCCTCTCTTATATAGTGCTTTTGTGAAGAATATTGTTGGGTGTTGAATGTTTTCCCCTTCTCATCTTAGTTCTTGGTATCGTTTATTATGACTTTTTTGTGAATAGATGATCTATTAATTTGTTTAAATATAGTAGTTATATTTATTAAATTAATGTTACCTATGGTGGTGTTGGGGAAGTTTGAGACTTGGATTTTTTTTTATTTTTTTCACAAAAAGACAAACTTTTTGCAAAACAAAAAAAAAAAACACATCCAAACAAAATATCACATCCAACCCCATAATCATTTCACTTTTTCTCTCACAAACATCACATCCAACTACAAAAAAACCCAACTATCTTCCCAAACACAAAAAAAAATTTCTCCAATAATATCCTACAATTAAAAAAAACCTACATAAAAACTCACTTCTCAAACACCCACTATATTAGTTTTTGTTAATTTTGATTTAAGATGAATATAATATGAATCTACATGGCACATAAAAATTTAAAAAGTTTAAAAAAAAAATTGCCGTGTCCGTGTCCCCATTTTTTGAAAATTGCCATGTTCCGTGTCCGTATCCGTATCCGTATCCGTATCCGCGCTTCATAGACCCTCATGAATTCTACTGAAACAATAAATAGCGAAAGCCCCTATACATACACATAGGGTTGCAAACGAACCGAACCGAACCGAGCCGAGCCGAGCTTTGCCGAGCTCGAGCTCGGCTCGTTTACTTATCGAGCTCGTTTATTGAGCTCAAGCTCGGCTCGATAAGGAACTGGGCTCGAGCTCGGCTCGACTCGACTCGGCTTGTTTCGTTAATTTTAATGAAGTTCAAGCTCGGCTCGGCTCGATAATTTTTTTTTAATATTATTTATATTATTTAAATATAAATATTTAAATAAAAAATATTATTTATATTATTTAATATGTACTATTATTTATATATATTTATTTATTATTTAATATACAAATAATATATTTATTATATAATTTAAATAAAGATAAACGAGCTTCTCAAAACTATAAAGATGATCAGTGTAATTTATCCTTATATAAACACACAACAAACTCTCAAGTTATTCCAATAACATTTTGTAATGGTGTATGAGCTGCAATACCTCAAAAGGGTGGAAAAGAGAAAGAAAAAAAAAAGGGGCTTATTTGCCAACAAGGGCCAAAAGAATCACAGGATTAGGAGGTGCAATTATTAAAAAATGTGGCAAACAAAGTTGTTTGACATGATGTGAATGTAGGGCTGCAAATGAACCGAGCTGTTCATGAACAAGCTCGGCTCGGCTCGGCTCGTTTACTAGTAAACGAGCCGAGCCGAGCCGAGCTTGTTCATGAACAGCTCGGTTCATTTGCAGCCCTACATTCACATCATGTCAAACAACTTTGTTTGCCACATTTTTTAATAATTGCACCTCCTAATCCTGTGATTCTTTTGGCCCTTGTTGGCAAATAAGCCCCTTTTTTTTTTCTTTCTCTTTTCCACCCTTTTGAGGTATTGCAGCTCATACACCATTACAAAATGTTATTGGAATAACTTGAGAGTTTGTTGTGTGCTTATATAAGGATAAATTACACTGATTATCTCTATAGTTTTGAGAAATAACAATAAATCTCACAAGTTTAGCGTAATTACACCCACCTCCTTTTAGTAAGGTTCAAAGGTCAACAGCTAGTGCAAATCATTTGATTGTAGACACAATCATAAAGAGGGTTATTTAGAATGATTTAAATAAGTGTATTTTATCTTTTTACGAAAAGATGTGCAAAAAAGTAGAGAAGTGATGTGATGAAAAAAAGATAAAAAGATAAATTATTTTTGAGTTGTCAAACTTGACCTAAATACATTAAAAATGTAAATGAAATGATAATATTATTATTATTTTTTTTATCAAAATGACTAACAAATTATTGAGGATGAAAATGAAACTAAATATTACGTGAATTAAATTCTAAAAAAGTCAAATCTAATTATGTTAAAATTGTAGAACTCAATAATGTATATCATTTTTTCCAAACCCAAGAAAAATTAGTATAATTTTTCCAAACCCAAGAAAAATTCATCAATGCGACCAGATTTGATTTTTCACTTCACGGATGTCAAAGGACCAGGAAAACCGAAATTTCAAATTTACATTGACAACAAGTGATTTTGTCAGCTAAAACATTGTAACCCATTTTCCCAGGAACCAAACAAAGAAGCATAAAAGAAATTAAGAAAGAAAATACCATGGAAGTGAAAGCGGAGGCGCCATAGATCAAGCAAGTGGTGGGAAACCAAGACTTGCCAGCCAAAATGGCGTAAAGATTGGCGAGACAGAGGGGCCACTGGAAGAGAAGCTCGAGCCAAACAAGACCCACAAAAAAATTGGGCTTATCGGTGAACAAGTAATCGCCATATTCGCTGGTGTACCAGAGCTTGAGATCGACGAGAACCTTAGGGAAGAGATCTACAGAAAGGCAAGTCTGTCCGTCAATGAGTGGCGCAGCAAGAGCGATCACAGTGAATACGAGGAAGAGTATTGCGTCTACAAGCTTAACCAAAGCACCCATTACAGATCTCTTAATCTCTCTCTCTCTCTCTCTCTCTCTCTCTCTCTAGTTTCTGTTTTGTCAAAATAGGAAAATGGGGATCGTGGAACGTTGAATGAGCAAGAGGGAGTTGAAATATGTGGAAATGGTGAAAATCAACATTTTCCAAAATTACACCTAACGCCCGCATTTCCCTCTATGTTTCCACCTGGCTCCCTATCATCATCACATTATGTCCAAAATAATAATAATTACATAAATAAACAAAGCATCAATGTTTGCTTATTTCACATTCATTTTTTATTTTTTTTTTCAATCGTAGCAGACATTTAAGTAGTTTATAGGGAAAATTAGTCTAGGATTTCTCTCCCATTTTTCGTAATAGAAGAGATTCACAAATTATTTTTTGATATCTAAGGTCCCTAAACATATATCAGAGAAATTTGACCTTACCAAATCAAAACTCCTCTCTCTCTCTCTAAACTTCTCCATTCTCAGACCTGTCCAGATCAACTCTTGTTCCTCACCCCTGACTTCATTCTCCAGCCGATTGAGCTCCACCTTCACCGTCAATGGCGTCGCCGCTCAGGGTCTTCATGTACGATCTTCCCCGTCGATCAAGTTGGGATGCTGAAACGTCAGAGATCCCAGAACCTTACACTAATCAATCTGTTTCGCAACAATCTCAAAGGTCAAACAAGTGACGGTGTAATTGGTAGCAGGATCAACGAAGCAACTGCCTCCTCTTGAGCAATTTTCATAGAGAATGTTGGCCCATGAAAGCTCAAATCCAGAGGCCAACTGTGCGTGGAATTCCATGAAGTTACTGGAAAAGTTGCGATTTGTTATTGTTGTTGTTGGAGACCACAAGGTAGTTGCAACTATCTCATCTATGATAATGGGTTTGTGAAGAAGACTTGATAATAATGGGTTTGTGAAGAATTCTCCACTATACTAGAAAGTAAGAATAATAATAATCACTGTGTTTGGTTTGAATTTTTTGGATTAAGTTTTTTGAAAATTGATTTTTTTGGTTTTTGTGAATATTTTTTAAATTTTAAACATTTTTTTTACTTTTTTAGATGCACCTTACTTAGATGTATCTAAAAAGTAAAAAATTTGTGAAAAAATATTTTAAAAAACTAATAAATACATAAAAATATAAAAAATGTACTGAATTCTTGTATTTTTGGTATATAGTGAATTTTTAAAAGATTTTTTTTACAATTTTTTTACTTTTTAGGTGTATTTATGTTAGGTGTGTCTAAAAAGTAAAAAAAATTGCCTAAAATATTAAAAAAATTCAGTAAAAACAAAAAAAACACGGAAAATAAGAAAGTAGAATTTTCTGAAAAGTGTTTTGGAAAACTGGAAACTAAGCAAGGTGAATGGGTTTGTGAAGAAGACTTGACTGTTTTATTAATACAAGTAGTATAAGAACTACTATTGGTGTTCATATATATTGGAGAATTCACTGGATTTTCACATTCCATCAACACTGCTACAGCTTCAAGACAGGGAAACTCCCATGGTCATGGCCATTCACATGAACTGAATTTTCTCTGGGTTGAAACCAGAGAAATTCTCTAGTTTTTTAACTAAATTTTCTCTGGGTTGAGACCAGAAAAATTCTCTGATTTTTGAAATGAATTTTCTCTGGGTTGGTCCAGAGAAATTCTTTGGTTTCAAGTTGGAACCTGGAATGCTTAATTTGTATAAAAATACAGGGAAAATTTTGATCCAGAGAAAATTCTCTCAACCACATTAATAAACAACACTAAACCTAGTAGCAAAACATCAGAGAAATTCTCTAGTCTTTCTAGAATTTTTCTGGATCAAAATTTTCAATGGATGTGGAATTTGTGTGAATTTTCTCTGAATTTCTAGTTTTGTATTATAGTTTTGTTGTGTGCCATTGTTGTTATTGAAGGAGCTTGAATTGAATTGCAGTGGTTGTATTGAAATGGCTTGGGAAGTCCAGAATTTATCAATTTTCTGTGGTTTGAAAATTGGTTAAACTGAACCCAAAGAAATTCTTTGGAAGTCCAGAATTTCTCTGGATAAAATTTCTCTTGATTAATTTTCTCTGGACCAATTTTTTATGGATTAATTTTCTCTGGACCAATTTTCTCTAGATGAACTTGAGGGACCTTAGACATTATGAAAATATTGAGTGTCTTTTATACTGTAAAATCTTAATACCAGAGACCTTAAAAAAAATTCCCCTAGTTTATATTCAAGTTCAAAATACCATTGATTTTTTTGATTTTTTATCCAAATGTTAATTTAAAAATAAACCAAACAATCCCTAAATAGTTTATTTCTTGTTTTGGTAGAGTGTTAATGTCGAGCCTAGTTTATATGCATTTAAGTTTGGTATAATCTAACATCAATTTGGAAGTTATTCTAAAGGCACTCTTTAAAAAAATAATAATCCCTAAGTCCATTCACATATCTCGATATATATATGAGTTATTAAATTAATTTTGTTCCCTTAATAACTATTTGAATTTGAGCTATTAAAATTCAATTAGGAATGAGTTTAACATTTTAAAAAATGTTTAAATTTGGCCTTTATATACATGTTTGAATTTAAGTCTTTATATAGGTGTAAAATATATATATATATATACATATATTTCTTTTTTTTAAGGGAGATTCATTAAAAAATTTATTTTCAAGTGTTTGTATTTCAATTAGCTCATAAGATATTCTTGTATTCTAATAAGTCTTATTATTTGAACATTTGATCTACCAAATCTCAATTCTCACATTTAAAGTATTTTATGGACATTTCTACCCTTACAAATATTTTTTGAACGGTTAGTAATTTGGTGACGTGAATATTCATATTTTACAATGTGAATATTCACATTGACGTGTGAATGTTCACATTGACAGTGTGAACATTCAAATTGACATATTAACATTTGACATGGGTAAGTCCATAAAGATTAGAGTCCACCATTTAGGGCCCAACACGTATCTCAAATGCTGAAGGCCAGCACTGCCAAAACCCCATGTAGTATTAGAACCAATGACATCAAGACACATGGCAAGAAAAGAGCAAGCCACATCAGCAGACAAAGATCTGCAAAGTTATTGCCACTACACATCGCCATTAATGAGGCCCTCTTACAGCATTTATTGCGATAACCCTTCTCCATCGGGATAACACGGCCTCACCCTGAACAAGGTAAGCTACAGCATAGACTTTCGGCCAAGGTGACAGGTCGGAAGAGACAACGTAATAATTACTAGAGGATATAAGCAGACGTCCAAGACATGTAGAAGGTTAAGCTTTTCTATCTCTATTACATCTCTACACTCCACTTCTCTCTCTAACTTGCTCGTCGGAGGGTTCGCTGGGGGACTCCCCGTTCCCCGTTGAACTCTTGTGCAGGTCTTCAGGTGGGCTTGGTCATTCGGACATAGGCTTAAGGAGTGTGGATCAGTCCGACCCGTTCTACCATCACAAACTGTATCATCAGTTGGCGCCGTCTGTGGAAATCACGGCCATAATACCGAGGAGTGTGCTAACCTCAAAGATCAGGTCGAGGGCCTGATTCGCCAAGGATGCCTCAGCCGATTCACGGATACTCGCCTTCCACAGAGGCAGCGGACAGAACCCATCAGAAACAATCGCCGGCGCACCCTTCCCCGACAGCCAGCACAGCCTAACCAAGGTCATGATCGCCCTCTACAGCAACCTCGGGCACAAGGTAACCCCGCTCCACCTATTGGAGAAATCAGAGTTATCTCCGGCGGGCTTGCTTGCGGAGGACCATCCCGGTCGGCTCAGCGGGCAGAACTCAGAAAAATAAGGCAGGGCTCGGACAAAGAAGTTGTCATATTGGATCGACCCTCCAAACACCCCAGGTAGTGGACCGAGCTTATCACCTTTACGGACGCTGACTGCACAGGCATCCGTTATCCTCATGACGACCCTCTCGTCATTTCCGCCCTCCTCTCCAATTACAAGGTCAGACGGGTTCTCGTCGACAACGACAGTTCTTCAGACATCATCTTCCTCAATTGCTTCCGCCAGCTCAAGATCGGGGAAGTAAGTCTGTCTCCTCTCCAAACCCTTTTGGTCGGTTTCACTGGCGACCGGGTGACCTCCATAGGCTCCATTGATCTTCCCATCACAATCGGCGAGTACCCACGTCAGACCACCAAGTTACTCACCTTCCTTGTTGTTGACTGCCCTTCTGCCTACAACATCATCCTTGGCCGCACCGCCCTAAATGCTTTCCAAGCTATCACATCCATTTTCCACCTTGCCATTAAGTTCCTTACCGATCTTGGGGTCGGCACAGTGAGGGGAGAGCAAACCGTGGCCAGAAAATGTTATGTCGCCTTACTTAAGGAAGTCAAGCTCAAGGATGCTATGATCATTGAAGGACTTGACGTCAGAGACGAGGACGAGCTGGTCAGAGGGGAACCAGTGGAAGAGCTCGTTGAGGTTCCCATCGACCCTACCAACTTGACAAAAACTGCCAAGATCGGTAGCCAACTATCCTCCCAAGCAAAGGCCGACCTTACTGCCCTCCTGATCGAACACAACGATGTATTTGCCTGGACCCACTCAGACATGCTGGGTATTGACCCCTCCTTCATAACTCATCGCCTCAGCATTGAGCCCCACTTCCGACCCTTTCACCAGAAGCAGTGCATCTTTCATCCGAAGTGTAATACTCTCATTACTGTAGAGGTAGATAAGCTCCTTGAGGCACAATTCATCAAGAACGTGGACTACCCTAGATGACTGTCAAACGTGGTCCTGGTCCGTAAGAACAATGGTAAATGGCGGCTCTGTGTCGACTACTCCGACCTCAACCGGGCTTGCCCAAAGACAGCTACCCTCTGCCTCGCATAGATCTGCTGGTTGACGCCACGGCCGATCATCAAATGCTCAGCTTCATGGATGCCTTCTCGGGGTACAACCAAATTCTGATACACCCCTCTGATCGCGAATACACCTCCTTCATCACCGACCGAGGTACCTACCATTACCGTGTGATGCCATTTGGGTTGAAAAATGTTGGGGCCACCTACCAACGGTTGGTCAATGCTGTCTTTCATCACCAGATAGGTA